CCGAGAAGTGAAAGGAGGATCAAACGGTACAGCGGTAGTCCAGATCCAAGGGTTGTGTTCCCATCGTGGCAGATCCCGCAACTGGTCAGCCTTTTGGCAAGCCTTTTGGGCGAGCCTCCGACAAACCGTTTAGGAATAGCAGATGGCAAACACAGTGACTTAGGCACACCAATGCAAATGCAATGCAAAGAACATATATAAGTAGATAAAATTTCGCATCATAAATTTCAAGTCAAGTTCTCTATTCTCCTCACCAGAGTTGCCAGAAACTGTAGCTCGACTTTTTCGCGCCCCCTTTCAGAAGATGAATAAGCCTTTGCAGTATCGAACTCTACCTGTGGTTCTGAATCTGATTTCACAAGTGCAATGTGAAATAGTGAAAACACAAAAATAGTCCAAATCCGACAATTCTTTTTAGAAAATCGATGTTTGAATCAAATGCCAAAAATGGACTGCTTTGCCAAATTTACAGAGTTCCCACCTGAATATTTTGTTTTAGGAAATTTAGGAAACCCATGACTCGTGCCGAATGCCACTTATCCGTCATCACCATGATTGTCTCGGTTCGGGAACTTAGGTACGAGAGGGGAAGGTCATGAATGCATTTGAGCACCCCGCTCGTCCGATCGAAGATCGACCTTTACTAATCATGATGCAATTCTTATTTACATTATATGCTTTTTTTCTGATTATCAGGCTAACTTTACTATGTGATGCATACAAATATAGACTAATTTTGCAAATATTGAAATACTTGATTTATGTTTGTTTTGAAAAATAAAAGTGCTTTGAATATGTACCACTTAAAAAAGTGATCGCATATGAACATTATTCAAATTATTCCAATTTAAGCAAATAGCCTTCATCCACAGGCATTCAAGCAGTTTATCAATTAAGCATTTAGTCTCATGGAAAACATGCTAGACATAGCAACAATCACACTTATGCAATGTGCTAAAGCATAAAAACTTACCTCGTACTCCAAGCCAAAAGAAAAACTAGTTAGAAAAATGCATGATCCTAACTATGCAATATGGCTAATGCAACACATACGATATGCAATTAAATAGGCTCGACTACTAATATGGCATATGAATCAATTTGATAGTATGCAATTTAACATGTATTCGAAGAAGTTTGCAAACAAGCCATTTAAAATGATGAACCGAGCCCCGGTGCATACAAAACAAGTGGATGCAAACATGAATAATGCTAAATAAAACATGATGTCCCTAATCTAACAATCATAAACAATTCAATAAAAGAGAGAAAGACGTAGGGTTGGAAGACATACACATTATTACAAAATTGCGCCCTCACACAGGGGGGTTCAAATGTCGGAGTGTCCAAATTAACTATTATTACAAATCCAAATGAATAAACAATTAAAAGCGCTGTCTAATTTATTATAACAACAGTACATATGCAATGCTCGCGTAATGCTCCTCGGAAGCCACTCTGTCTGCCTTGCCTTGTTGGGAACTATTCTGTTTCACCCTCAGTTACTATTGCAATCACTACTACTAACCAAAAGTGTACGATTTGCCATATATTGGGGTCTGGCTGACTCGCAATCGATTTGAGCCAAATAAATCCAACAATGTTTATTCGTGCCTGAGGTAAAAACAGTGCAGATAGGATGTTCCAAATTCTGTTTGTCCCCTTCACACTTCTCTTTCATTGGAAAGCCTCGAGAGAATGGTGGAATTGTTTCTAAAATCATTAATGAGCAAGTTGATTACTTGATAATTTCGAGTACAATTTGGACAAAAATTAATAAATGAATGGAACCACCCCTCCTTCCTATCATAGATTGAAGTCAAAGAAGGAGGTGGAGACGCTTCAAAGTTTATCTAAAACACATCATAAATTGATGTTTAGGGAAGCCTTGACACAATAGACTCGGCATAACGTCTGATTGAATCCAAGCAATATACTTTATTTTCTTTATGTGGGTTGATTCATTTTAGCAATTTTTGTTAGTCCTTTCCATTCTTTAATTCATTAAGTCCAAGGTGACAATTATGTCCACTAAATTAGAAGTGCGCCAAATAGGAAGTAATTCTTAATATGAAAGAGAGATTATACCATTGGCGATGAACCTCCGTAGAGATTAAGCCATAAAGCATAGATCTCTAGCTCATAGTTTGAATAACTATCAACGATGTGAAATCACTCTCAATTTAAAGAAATGGATGATATGTGACGCTTCAAGATTCATCTAAAACATCATGAATTGGTGTGTAGACAAGCCTTGACACAATAAACTTGGCGTCACGTCCGGCCAAGCCCAAGCAGTATGATTCATTTTCTTATGTATGTTGATTGCTTTTAAATCAATTTTCTTAGTCATTTCCATTTTTTAGTCCATTTGTCCAATGTGATTATTAAGTCCTCTAAAAGAAGAAAAGTGTCAAACGGGAAGTTGTTCTTGGCATGAAAGAGATGTAATGCCCTGATAATGAACCTCTGAAGAGATTAAACCATTTAGCACGGAAGGTCTCTTTCTCATGCTAAAAACAACATATATGGGACTTCAATTCACCATTTTCAATTAGATTACAACAATATACAATATAACAATAAATTAAAGCAAAAGAGCAAAATAAGCAAGAAATGCAAGAAAATGAAAGGTTGGTGAAATTCACCTTCCAAAGAAAAGATGAACTCCTTAGTTTACAAACTTCCTCTTGATCACCCTCAAGTGTAGGAAGTGTGTTCTCAAATTCTCAGTGGCTATGGAAGCTTGGAAGTGTTTTGGCTCAAGTTTAAAATGTAGACAAAATTACTCTCCTTTCTTTACTGACTCTCTTAATTCTCCTTCATCAAAAACCTCTCTTTTTTTGCTGAGCCTTTCCCTCTTTATATAAGGCAAAACATATAATATAATAATATATAATAATATATGCCTAATTTTTATATTATATACATATAATAATAATAATAATAATAATAA